TCTTCAATTTCTTTCAATAATGTCTTATAGTTTTCAGTGTATAGGTCTTTTACCTCCTTGGTTGAATTTATTCCTAGTGATTTTATTCTTTTTGTTGTGACTATAAATGGGATTGTATTTTTGATTTCTCTTTGTGCTGGTTCATTGTTATTGTATAGAAATGTAGCTGATTTTTTTATGTTGATTTTGTATCCTGCAACTTTACTGTACTCATCAATTATTTCTAATAGATTTTGGGGGGATTCTTTAGAGTTTTCTATTGATAGAATCATGTCATCCAAAATAGTGACAGTTTTACTTCTTTCTTTTCAATTTGGATCCCTTTTATTTCTTTTTCTTGCCTAATTTCTCTGGCTAGGACTTCCAATTTTGTGTTGAATAAGAGTGGCAAGAGTGTGCATCCTTGTCTTCTTCCTGTTCTTAGAGGAATAACATTCAGTTTCTTACCATTGAGTATGATGTTGGCTGTGGGTTTGTCATATATGGCCTTCATTATGTTGAGGTACTTTCCTTCTATAGGCATTTATCTAGTCTATTTTGTCTGATATAATTATGGCTACATCTGCTTTTTTTTGGTTGCCATTTGCTTGGAGTATCATCTTCCATCCCATCATTCTGAGCCTGTCTGTCTTTAGAGCTGAGATGGGTCTCCGGGAGGCAGCCTGGTGTTGGATCTTATTTTTTAATGCATCCGCTCTGTGTCTTTTGATTGGTGAATTCAATCCATTTACATTTAGAATGATTATTGATATATGAGGGCTTAATATTGCCATTTTATCTTATGTTTTCTGGTTGGTCTATATTTTCATTGTTTCTTTTTCCTTGTATTTCTGTCTGCCATTTTAGTTTGGTGGTTTTCTGTGATGTTTTTCTCAGTTTCCTCTTTATTTATGATTTGTGACTCTGCTCTGATTTTTTGTTTTGTGGTTACCATTAGGTTTGTATAAAAGATCTCATAGACGAGACAGTAATTTTTTTGCTGGTAGTATCTTATTTCCATTAGCCTATGTAGGTTCCATCCTTTTCCTCTTCCCCTTCTATGGTTTTGTTGTCACAAATTATCTCTTTTTATATTTTGAGTTTGTTACCAAATTGAAGTGCTTATACTTATCATTTTATTTTATTTTATTTTTTTGTGAGGAAGATAAGCCCTGAGCTAACATCCATGCGAATCCTCCTCTTTTTGCTGAGGAAGACCAGCCTCTTATAGTTATTTTTGATGCTTTCTTTCCCTTTAGCCTTTATTATAATTTTGTTATAATTAAGTTATGATTAAGTGTTTACTAATCTATTCTGATATAGAGTAACACTTTTCTAATTCTGTCTATCTATTTGTCACCTTTCTCAAAGCTTTGTATGCCTTTGCCTTTTTGTTTCAGGTAGGAGGTTTCCTTTCAACATTTCTTGTAGGGCAGGTCTAGTGACGATGAACTCCCTTAGGTTTTCTTTGTCTGGGAAAGTCTTTATTTCACCTTTGTATCTGAAGGATAACTTGCTGGATAAAGTATTCTTGGCTGATAGTTTTCATCTTTCAATATTTGGAATATATCATTCCATGCTCTCCTATCTTGTAGAATTTCTGCTGAGAAATCACTGATATGCTAATGAAGATTCCTTTGTAAGTTATTTTCTTCTCTCTGGCCACCTTTAATATTCTTTTATTGTCATTGAGTTTTGACAGTTTTAATATAGTTTAATATAATGTGCTTTGAAGAAAGTCTTTTTCTTTCTTTCTTTCTTTTTTTTTTTTGCTGAGGAAGATTCGCCCTGAGCTAATGTCCCCTGGCAATCTTCCTATGTTTTTGCTAGAGGAAATTATCCCTGAGCTAACATCTGTGTCAATCTTCCTCTACTTTATGCTTGGGACACCACTACAGCGTGGCTGGTGAGTGGAGTAGGTCTGTGCCCGGGATCCGAACCCATGAACCTGGGCCACCAAAGTGGAGCATGCAGAACTTGAACCACTCGGCCACAGGGCCAAGCTCTAGAGAAGGACTTTTTGCATTGAGATAATTAGGATTTCTATTAGCTTCATGTACTTGTATATCCAGTTCCTTCCCCAGGTTTGGGACGTTCTCAGCTATTCTTTCTTTAAATAAGCTCTCTGCTCCTTTCTCCCTCTCTTCTTGTAGGATACCCATTATCCTTATGTTGCTTTTCCTAATTGAGTCAAATATTTCTTGTAGAATTTCTCCATTTTTAAAAAATATTAGTTCTTTTTCCTCTTCCACCTGAATCATTTCTAGATTTCTGTCTTCGAGCTCACTAATTCTCTCTTCAATACGGTCTGCTCTATTTCCAATGATTTCTACTTTATTTTTTATCTCATTAATTGTGTTCTTCACCTCCAGAATTTCTGTTTGATTTTTTTTTGAGAGTTTCAATCTCTTTGGTGAAGTACTCTTTCTGTTCATTAATTTAATTCCTGAGCCCACTGAACTGTCTTTGAGTTTTCTTGTAACTTATTGAGTTTCTTCATGACAGCTATTTTCAATTCTCTGTCAGATCACAATCTTCTGTGACTTCAAATTTGGTTTCTGAGAGTTATCATTTTCTTTCTGTGCTACTATTTTACTGTAGCTCTTCATGGTGCTTGATGAGTTGTTCCTCTGCTGGTGCATTTGTTGTAGTAAACACCCTTCTTATTTGGATAAAGATTTGGTTACTTTGATTCTGAGCTGCTTCTCGTTGTATTTGAGAACCTGCACTTTTCGCCCTCTACTGCCTCTGCCAGAAGCATCATCCCTGCCCCCTTGTGCTGCTTGTGGCTCTGAGGTTGCTGGTGACTTGCTGCTTATGTTGTCACTGCAGTTGTGGGTGTTGCCACTGGGGTCGCCAGATTGTGAGCACCACTACTGCTTCCAGGGTCACCTGGGTCTCATGTTTCCCCACTGGCTCTCTGTGGGCTCTCCATTTGCTTGGGTGCTGCTGCCCCATGCACCACCTGTGCTGCTGCTCTTAGGTTATTTGGGCCATGCTGGCGGCACCACTTCCAGGAGTACTCAGTTCATGGGTGTTGCTGTTGCTGCCGTGGGCCTGGGGTCTTGTATGCACCCCCCACTGCTGGTAGAGCCACTGGTGGGGCTGCTGCCACTGGGGGCTGGGTCATGGGTTCTGCTGTGGATCCTGAAGCCTCAGGTCCAGATGCCACCTGCCACTTCTAGGGGAGGGGGAGGGACTGAGCCGTGAGCACAACTGCTACTCCTGCAGCCTCTGGTCATTGGCCCACAACAGTGTGCTTTTTGAAACCTCAGGTCGCGGCACCACCACCCCTGCTGGCGTATCCACATTTTGGATCGCCACTGCCAGGGGAAGGGGCGGGGGCTGCTCCCCTAGTTCCACCTCCTCCCAGAGGTCTAGTCCTCCCACCCTCAGATGTATAGATGTATGGATCTCTCAGGAATTCTGGTGTGCAATGCAGAGAGTACTTTGTTGGTCAGTGGATGTCCTACTGGTTGTAACTTAGAGGGGAGAGACAAGGGAACAACTCACTCAGCCACGATGCTGATGTCACTCCTTGTCGTACTTTTTTGTAAGATTTTATTACTATCAGTGGCTTTCAGATTTGCCCATTTGTCAGAATCAACTGAATTGCTTTTAAACAATGCAGATTTCCAGACCCACCTCAAGCTTATTCAATCTGAATTTCAGGGCAAGGAGTCAGGGCAATCTGTATTACAAACAATCTTTTCAGGTGATCCTGATGGAGTTGGTAGGGACATGAGAATTATGGCACAGTGTCCTTCTTAGAAGGATCATGGAAGAAAGTTCTCTCTGGTCTCAGTTTCAGCATCAGTGGTCCTACTTCTAGGCAAATAGTTTATTTTTATTTCCTGGACACCATAATTCATACAACTGATTATGTTGATCTTTTTGCATTGACTCATGTGAAGCATAGAGCCAAATATGGCTCCTTCTACCAAAAGTATAGGAAGAAAGTTATGGAACTTTAGGTATTAACAACATTCTTGTCTTCATCTTTTCTTTCTTAGTCGCATTTCCCCCTTGCCTCAATTTCTTCACCAAATTATTATTTTATTAATTTAATTTTTTTTTCCTTTTGACCTTCTTCACTGATTTCTCCCACTCCCCACCCCCCTGCCTCTGGCAACCACCAATCTGTTCTCTGCATCTATGAATTTTGTTTTTATTTTTAAGATTCTGCATGTGAAAGAGATCATACAGTATTTGTCTTTCTCTGTCTGACTTATTTCACTTAGCATGATGCCCTCGAGGTCCATCCACGCTGTTGCAAATGGTAAGATTTCATTCTTCTTTATGGCTGTATAATATTCCATTATATATATACCACAATCTCTTTATCCATCATCCATCAATGAACACTTAAATTGTTTCCATATCTTGGCTATTGTAAATAGTGTTGCAGTGAACATGGGGGTCCATATATCTTTTTGAGTTAGTGTTTTTGTTTTCTTTGGATAAATACTCAGAAGTGGACTTGCTGAATCACATAGTATTTTTCAAATTTTTTGAGGAAAAATTATTTTTAATTTTATATCTTGTTTTATTGCAGGTATTTTTATACATTGCTTTAAATCCTGTTTGGAATGAAGTGTGACATAAATTTAAAAAGAGTACTATCCTAATAATATTTGCACAAACCCTGATGATTTTCTTAGCTTGAGTTGGAGTGTTTGAATTTACTATTTCTTATTTTAAAAATACAGCTTAGGATGATCCAGCAGAAATCACAACATAAACCCGGTTGAAGGTGGTGCCATAACTGTCTTGTTTATCACCTTTTTGCCCTTTTGGGGAGTGTGGGTAGACTGGGGAGTATATATCATTTGTTGAACCTTATTTCCATCAAAGACAAACAGATAGTTTTCTAAGTTTTATTCAGAACGAAGTCAGCGTAGTCAAAATACATCAGTGGTATATGTGAAAAAGAAACTTGATTCCTTAACAAAATCCGTCCTAAGTGGGGCAAGAATGGACACTGTGCTCCACTTTAACTAAATCTGAAGACAGAGTTGGCCAGTAGAACATATTATGAAAAACAAACACAGAAACAAAAGCAAGCAACTGGTAGATCCAAGAAAATCATTTGTAGTCTCAGTTCCCATGAGATGGGTGAAGCTTGCGTTTGATCCAAGCCTCATATTTCTGGCTTAATAGGATGTAGACTCCAGGTTTCTTGGCATCACCACACTTACGACCTCCAGAGACTAGGGCATAGAAGGCACCTTTGCAGACCAAGGGGCCACCTGAGTCACCCTGGAAAGAAGAAAATGGGCAGATACTTGGTAAGAAGCTGTTGAGCTTTTTCTATCACCAACTGTTGATTACTCAAAGCATTATTACCTGGGTCCCTGGTTTCTTTGTTCTTGAAGAGTGCCCGACACAGTCCCTTACTCAGTGTGGGTTCTTTGTGTCTCTGTCTCTGTCCAGGACCATGGTTCTTTCTGTCTGTTTCCGTCTCTGTCCGTGTCCCTGTCTCTATCCAGGACCATGTTTCTGTCCCTCTGTCCATCTCTCTCTCTCTGTCCATGTCCCTGTCTCTGTCTAGGACCATGTTTCCATCCATCTGTCTGTCTGTCTCTCTGTTCGTGTCCCTGTCTCTGTCTAGGACAGTGTTTCTGTCCGTCTGTCTCCCTCTCTGTCCGTGTCCCTGTCTCTGTCTAGGACTATATATATATATCCTTTGGTAATCAGTGACTATTGAACTTTATTTATTAAGGAATGGGTAGACATAGTTTGAAATAACCCATTGAAATAAAAGAAATTTTGTAAACTGTGAATTTCATTTTGGTGCTCATGGATTTGAAATTAAATTGCTATTGAGACTGGCAGAAAAGAGCAACGTATTGTAGTCAATGCCTTGGTGGCAGGGACACTATCTTCTCTATTATTTTTTTCCTGTTTTTGTATCCGTATGTGATTGAACATGGTGCTTTGCACGTATACAACATTAGTAAATACTTGCTCAGTGAACTGACTCTTGAGGACTCTGACAACAAAACATGTAACTAAAATTCTGTCAAGGAAAGTGACAGGGTGATAGAGGCCTGGCCTTTCAGATGAAGAGTTGGCTTTCAAATCTGAAGAGCAGCCTTCACCACTGCTGCCACTCACATGGCAAACTGCAGTACTTTGTGCTCTGGTTGGCCATGAAAATAGAGTCTTAGGGGAATGATGATCTTGGGGCGTTGCAGATACACATGATCTTTAAAATCATCATCATACTTTCCCCCGATCATGTTTAATAGAGTAGAGTGTGAATATTGTATTCTAATTTTTCAAAAATTAGTAACCCATCTGTACTACCTATTTGTCACCTGTACACATGAACACCTATTTTTTTTTTTTTACTACTTCAGGAAACAAAAGATTTCGATAAGGGGGGCCAGCCTGGTGGCGCAAGCGGTTAAGTGCACGCGCTCCGCTGCCACGGCCCGGGGTTCGCAGGTTCAGATCCTGGGTGTGCACTGGCGCGCTGCTTGTCATGCCATGCTGTGGCAGTGTCCCATATAAAGTAGAGGAATATGGGCACAGATATTAGCCCAGGGCCAATCTTGCTCAGCAAAAAAAAAAAAAAAAAAAGGAGGATTAGCATTGGATGTTAGCTTAGGGCTGATCTTCCTCACAAAAGCAAAACAAAAGATTTTGATAAGTATGACTGCTGTTCCTTTTATTCAGTCAGCCAATATAATTTAAGAAGCAGATACTATATATCTGAGCTTTTTGCATTTGAGTCTTGTAAGACCTGTCTATTGATTAATTTAAAGGGTGGGTCTTTTTTTTGGAGAAGTTTTCTTCTAATCACCACTAGTGACCTCAGAGTTGGTAGGCTTTCCAAGGACGATAACACCCCTCAGAAAAAGCCTATACAAGTTATCATATATATTCCATTATCCTTATTAACAAACATTTAATGAGTGCTTATTATGTGTTGGGAAAGTTCTTATGACTCCTTCACACTGGTGGGTGAAAAAGAATAGAGAATGCTGTGCAGGAATGGAGAGTAACTTTTGGGAATTGTGGTTTTGTGGTCTTCAGGCCTCTCCTCCTCTGTGCTAGTGAGCAGATGGAGCACTGACAGCAGTACATTGCTCTGAGATGCCTGTTTGAGTGACAGACTCTTACCTGGCAGGAATCCTTCTGGCCTTTGGCATCTCCTGCACATATCATGTCTTTAGTTATTATAGGGTTGTGGTTGTGATAACTTCGGCTGTTGCAAAGTTTTCTACTTATGACAGTAACAGTGACTTCTTGCAGGGTATCAGAGGGGGTTAAAACTTCTGGGTCGGTGGCCCCCCAGCCAGTAACCTGGCATTTCGTTCCAGCTCTAATATCGTTTTTGGATCTTGGGTGGAGCAGCTGGACATACTCGTTGAGTTTTGCGGCTGTGTAAAGCTGACAGATTGAAAAAAGAATCAGTCATCATTTGTCCCCAATAGTATTCTGCTATGAGCCTGAGCGATGTATGTGTGGTCCCTCTGCTCTAGGAGGGCGTCCCTCTTCTGGAATCTACTTTGGTGGTAGCTCGCAGCTGCATTTGTGGTGGCTGCTTTTCTGAACATGCTCTCCATTCCCCACAGAGCTCACTGATGCTTGGGAGGGAACTTACACAAAGCAGGAATTTTGCCCAGTCTCAAGCAAACTGGCCTTTGCTCTGCATTGGATGGTTTTCTGTGGAATAACATCCATAGGTCATGACTTTGAGGGCTGAGCTGTTTCCTGCTGGATAGGACCCTTGAGTATGGTCTAGACTAAGTTTGGACTAGAATAAGTATGGTCTAGACTAAGTTGTAACTCACTTCTGTGTCCTTGAAGTCACTTGGTTGGCTCTGTTGTATAAATGACATATTTTTCACTTGCTAATGATAAAAGCTTTTGGGAAAAAAGCTTTCAGTGTGGATCCTTGGGCCTGTTTGGATGTTCCCCTCCCACGTATGTGAGCATCAGAGTTGCTTTTCCTTGTATAAACACAGCTCTGATGCATTGTAATAAATTCTTATTTCTTTCAAGGCAATATATGCAGCAAAATGGGCCCTTATGGAATATGTCACAGTCAATTTACACATGGGGAGAGTGCTAACAAAGTGCTTTTATATAGATGATTTAACAACAGAATTATGCTGTATAAGAATATTGGAGAAACTGAAGGAAGACAATGCTACATACCTTAACCAGCATAACATCATTCGATTCAGGATCTGATCTAAATCTTGAGAATGGTATAAATTTTTTAATCTCTAATATTTGTTTGGAGGCCTCATTCTTTGAGAGAGAGTGTGCTCCTAAAACCACTTTAGCAGACTGGCGTTTGGCAAACCTAAAAAAAAGCAAGGAGAACAGAAGCAACAGAATGATTCCCAAATCCCCCAGTGAGAGCAGAAATGGTGGAGAGGGTCGTAAATATACAGGAACGCCGACCATCTCCAAAGTAACTTGCCCAGGATTAAGTGGAGTGACAGAGGTCTCAGTGGACTCAAGCATGAATGGATGATATCAAGGGCCAAATGACCCACTCTCAAACCTGTCCCACTCCGATTCCCCAGCATTGCAAAAGAATAGCAGAACTTGTACCCTACTGTGGAGAAAAAGGAGTGACAGCCTAACTGACTGAGATCAAGTTTACAGTAAAATTGTGTTAATTTATGTAAAAATAAAGGAAATTATATTTCTGGAGTTTGTGGATTGAGATTGTACCCAGAATTGTTAAGTTTTTTTTTTTAGTGAGGTAAAATATACATAACATAAAATTTATGATTTTAACCTTTTTTTTTTTTTTTTGCTGAGGAAGATTTGCCCTGAGCTAACATCCGTTGCCAGTCTTCCTCTTTTTTTTTTTTCCTTGAGGAAGATTAGCCCTGAGCTAACACCTGTGCCAGTCTTCCTCTACTTTGTATGTGGGTCGCCACCCCAGCATGGCTGACGAGTGGTAGGTCTGTGCCCGGGATCTGAATCCATGAACCTGGGCTGCCAAAGCAGAAGGCATGAAACTTAACCAGTACGCCACGGGGTCGGCCCCCCAATGTTAAGTGTTTTAATAACTAAAAGATAGAGACTCAACTCTACACTTGCTAATCTGATATGTCTAGACCTCATCTCATGGCAATATGAAGAAGTAAGGTCCATTTAATGGCTGTCAAATCTGCTCATATATTCTGCCCTCTCCATTGGAAAGATGATTTAGACAAGAAAGCAAAACTTTCCTCAAGGTGAAAAATCATTGCTAATTTGAATTGAAGACACTTTAGGGTTAGTAGCCCTTGATAAGTCCATTGTGGAGACTTAGAGGATATAAACTGGTGAGGTAGATGAAGAAACAACAGTTTTTTTTTTTATCCTTGGTCGTATACAATTCTAGTAACAGTGTTTCAACAGTGCCAGAATTGATCTGATTTACTGTATGTTGAATAAAATTACATTTACATCTAGTTATGAAAACAGAAATGATTTTTTTGAGATCTTAACACCTTGGAGCCATTTGCATACTATAAAAATGTCCCATTTTAATATGTGTCTTTAGGAAGCCACTTCAAATCCTTTTTTGGAACAAAGAAGGTTATAAAAAGAATTATATTTATTTGTTTACATATAACTATTTCATTGTCACTTGAAAAAAACTAAGGCAGATCACAGTAAAAACACACATACACATATATTAATATTACTACTAATAATATATTAATAAAGATTAATAAAAGTTAAAAAGAGCATAGAAACATACAGAAAAAGGGAGAAAAGGCTGTTTCAGGTTTGGGCAATGAGTACACGACTACAGTGGGACAGGTTTGCACATGGCAGGGCTATGGCTGCCGGGAATTACCACATTTTGGTTTCTACCAAAAGAGTTTATTTCGGGAATTCCAGCTCTATTTGTCGAAAAGTTTGCCTATTACAAAATCAGAGGATGAAATTTCTCAAAGGATTTGGATCAGAATTCTTAGGATTGATTCAAACTCAAATTCAACATACTCACTAAACCCAAAGCTTTGGAGGGGAAGGATGATATAAGATCCCCAGGACTACTGCTCTAACAGAAAAGATGAATACATGCACAGATAACTAACACAAGGATGGCTGTGAGGTACAAATGCAGGGTGTGGAAGATGAAATCTGACCAGGGGAAGCAGCTGAGAAAATTTCTGATTTCCCTTCATCTTTTACCAGTTTCCTTGATTAGTTAATGCCTTTGAAATGCCTTGGTTATTTTTGTCTCCACTGGAACATGTTAATACCAAAAACAACCCAAGCAGGCCATGAATGCTTTCTGAACTTTCCATTTCTGGATACACTTCAATTGTAATCTGTACTTCAAAGGTCAGTTTTTCTGCCTATAGGATACCTGGAATTACCTGAGTTCTAGAATTCCACCTTCTTAGCTAAACCAGGGTCTGAATTCACACAGAGGAGAAGTAATAATACTAGTGTCTTTCATTTGTACAGCACAGTTTCTCCATGGGTGGTCTGTGGACCACCCACTTCAGAATCACCTGGAGGATTTTTAAAATGCAGCTTTCTGAGTCCTACCCTGGACATACCTGGAACAGAACTACATGCAGAGCGGAACCAAGGCATTGCTTACAGTAAGTCTTTTCATCATCAACCTCCATAAACATGGTCTCTATTGAGCTCAAGAGTAAGCCTTCTCAGTGTTGTTAAAGCCCATGGGCTGTGTAGTCCTTACTACTGAAAGGGTTCTTTGACTGACCAAAGGTGACACACATTATAAGTAGGGGAATCAGTACCCAAACTCACTTTTGTGACTCCAAGTCCAGTGCTCTTTCCATGACACCTCTATAAGCCCCGTGCCAAGCCCCTTCAAGCCTTTTATTTCCTCCTCCAGTCTGCCTTGGCGCTGAGCAGTGTTTCTGCTCAGACCTACTCTTCTGGGTCTGACCGTAAAGGAAGGATCCCTATTTCTTGGAGGTCTTTTTTGCCTGAGAGAGGAGGGAATAACCTGGCTATCAGAGAGGGGCTGTCACAGTCCAACCCCACCAACATGACTGGATCATCAGATTTGTTCCTCAGTGATTACCATGGAAGGCATAGATAATAATTTCGCATCAGATAACATCTATTAAGTTATTGTGGTGTGCCGGGTTTTGTGCTAAGCATTTTACATATTTTCCCTCATTTAAACCTCACAACAGCCCTGTGAGGGACATATTATGATTATCCCAATTTTGCAGATGAGGAAGTTGAGGCTCAGGTAAATCAACAAATTTGAGACAGTCCCACAGATGTTAAGCGGAGGCTCCAGGATGCAAATACAGGAGGGATCAAAGCTCAGTTGGTTTGAATCCAGGGCCTGAATTTTTAACTGTTCTCCTCTGGGAGGCTTGAGTGATGTGAGATGGAGTGAGGCCATGTGAAAGGGGCTGTGGGGGTTCCACCTACTCACCAACTAGGCAGGTGAGAGTAGAAGTGCTCAGTGAGGGAAGGCATTGGAGGAGACTCAGGAAGACAATGGACAAGAGTTGGTGAGTTTTCCTTCTGATACATTAAAATGTTGAAAATAAGATTATACTGGAAGCTTTTTAACCAGTTTCCTTTTATAATTGGCATGGCAACTAATAAAGGGGCCAAGAGACTAAGCAAGGAACCGCATGGATGGGTAGTGAGAAGGGAACACCCCAGATTTGGCCTCCTTTACCATTTTGCTGAGAGAGGAGCCTGGGATTAGTGACTATTCCCACAGGATACTTGGGAGTACATTTGTGGGAAGCCACCATTGAGCTATTTCATAAATATTTTGGATTTCATAAAGCTTAATATTTTTCCAAGCACCAATTTGTCTACATTTTTACACCCAAGTGTTTCGTAGAGGAAATTTGATCCATATATTCTGGAGTTCTTTAAATTCTAGCCATTTAAAATGATATTTAGCAATAGGTTTTTTTTTTTTTCTTAATTCCAACACCTCTTTTCCTCAACTTGTCAATTTGGGAATCCATTTCTACTAAGTCAAGTTTACTTGACAAAATTTAAAATTCAACTTGATAATACTAGTTACCTTTGGATAACACCTTATGGCTTGTGGAAGACTTCATATACTGTGTTTTTGGCTTAGGAAAAAAAAATCCTTCAATTTATTTCCTTCTTTCAATCCAGCATTTGTTGAGCATTTATAATAAGTCAAGCTCCGTGTCTGGGGAGGTTATAGTCCATTTAAATGTGTACCATAAGCATATTTGAAGACGTGCAAATTTTGAATTGAATGAACATTTACTGATAGTCACCCTCTGCCTAGCTGGTCCCCAGGGGACAAGTGCCCTAGAAAGCACAGAAGTGATGGGGACACAAGGGTGATTTCTATGACAGCAAGAACCCCATTTAAATGAAGTAGCCATATTAAATTAGAAATTAGTGTCTTGCTATTTAGAAATAAAACATAAATTCTCACTGTTTGCAGGTGTCAAAATTTCTAATTTGTGTTCAGTCTCACTAAAATGGGGCAAACAAAACCCCCAAAACATGGAGAAGCAAGTCAATTTAGCTGTTGCATTTAGATATAGCTGATGCCTACAGAGTAAACCATTATGGCTAAGAGCTTCTTAAGTGGAGTGCTGTAATGTTTGTAAGGAAAGGAGAAGGCCCCACCTCTTCTTAGCTTATTTAGGCAAGGAACATAAGGAAGAAAACATATAAATAAGAAACAACCCCTCCCGAACCCAAAGAAACACCAAATTAGTTTTCTATTGCTTTTCCTTTTGTGATGGTTGCAGTTTCCTAAGAAGGGTTTTGGACTTTTTTAGCAGAAGTAAGAGAATCATAGGCTGAAATGGATTTTGAGAGGTTATAGTCTAAGTATTCCAGAAAAATAACTCTCTCTCTATCTCTGTGTAAATCATCTATAATTTTTTTTCGCCTGGGAAGGTTGTTGCCCCTTAGCTGTGATTCCCAGACTGTGGAAGACCTCTGGGGTGGGAGGTGGGACGACGGAGTTAATGGATCTAAAAATCCCTTAGCAAAGCGGGCTCCTCAAACGTATAATAACAATAATAGCTGCAACATATTTGTACTTACTATGAGCTAAGCACACTAAAATATTAAAAAGATACTATTTAATCCTTAAAACCCCATGAAGCAGGTCCTACTGTTATTATTACCCGTTTGTAAAATGGGGACGCGGAGCTGCAAACTCCGGTTGTCTGCTTTCCTCGCGGGCAGTATGACAACGAGCTCAGGAATACGGCTGTAGCTGCCTTCCCTGGCGTTACACGGGGCACCTGGATTTGTCTAATGGCTTGCCTGGGAAAGGTAGAGCAGCTCTCTGCGAAAGGGAAAACTCAGGGCAGAAGACACGATGTGCGTGCGAGCGGGTAAATAAACCCCACCAGTTGGTCAGTTATCGCAGAAGCTAACGGTAGATCAAATTCTCTCTGGGAGAGGCAAGCTTCTCTCTTAGCCAACTTGAGGAAAAACACCTACGCGGAAAGTGTGGGTACTCACCGAAAGCGGCAGTGGGCCGCGGTCAGCACCCACTCCGGATGGATCAGAACGCCTCCGCAAACGTGACCGCCGTCATCCTGGATGGAAGCCATGAATGGCCTGGAATGAGGTGACACTTCTCTCCCTCCAATAATCTCCATGTTGAAACCTACAAAAGAAAACCAAAAGATTTAACGTAAAAGATCTAAGCAGATTATTTCATGTAATTCTTCTTTGGATCATCACAATATTTTCAAAGACTAAAAAAAACCCTATAGTTACCTAATAGTTATAACTCTACTGATGAACAATTGTATATTACATTACAGTTTAGATGGATAGATCTGGTTGTGAAAAATCATTTTCATTTGTAATATAACGATACAGTCACTAGGAACCCATTTAATGCTGATATGTGGTAGGTATAGGAGATACTTACATTCTGGAGTTATATAAGCCGCAGTTACTAGGAAAAATAGAGAAAAAGAAGAAAACTTGGTCATTTTAATGGCTTAGATTTAAGAAGCCCAGATGAAATACTGCGACTGTATTGGTGAGGGAAGAAGATTCTGAAAGTTAAGATTTGATCTCGCAAGTTTTAACTTTCCTACCACAAATGTTCTAGAGATAAGGTTTTTCACGCCTAGGTTTAAAGGTGTGTATCAGTTTGGGGAGTTTCAGATCTGTGCTTTTAGCGCTTTTTTTGGGAGAGGAATGTGTGCAATAAAGAACTCATTTCTAGAGTTAACCATCTTGAATATCTGTATGAGTACTCATGTTATAAATGGTGAAAGAATAAAAATATCCAAGCTATAAGAACTTAGAGAAGTTGCAGGCAGGGTTCAAAGATGTTCATTGCTCTAAAGCAATACTTACTATTTGTCCTGGCAGAAAATGATGCCTATCATATGTAGTTTTTCTCCATTTTTCATTTGGACATAGATTTATCATGTAGAGAGACATGGAACCTTGCACAGATCATGGTTGCGTTACAATAAGGCTTAGCTAAAGCCTGAACGTCATCCAGAGAAGCCCACGTGTTTTGTAGCAAACTTATTCCTAGTCTTGCCATTTTGGTTAAATTTTAGTTACGTTTGTGGGAGATTTTATAATGTTATTAAAGGGGAACATTGGCAACATATTTTTAATTCCAAGTCTCTCTTTTACTCATTTTTAATTGAAAATGACCATGTGTTTATCCAGGGCCTCAATAATAATATCTTTTGAAAATCAAGGACTGCTTTTCGTCCTTCTCCCCAGGCACAGATGGTAACGCATTGCCAGGCTTTCTACAGTACTTTCTCCTTCACTACAAAAGGTATTAGACTTAAGATTCTATAAGATTCTGTTTGTGCTGGGTGCTGATCAATAGTGCAAATGTTATAAAATGAGTCCAAACAGACAAATCAGGCACCAGAACCCCAATCACTTTCCAGAAACACTGATCAAAATTTACCTTGAATTAACAGATCTTACTTTCTTTTTTCTAAGATATATGCATCCTACCTTCCGTTTCTTTTACAAAGGAGAATTGAAATCCAGAGCTATTATGTTTGGCAGACTGCAAGAGACTCCTACCAAATTGTTGTTTTCTAGCGTCAGACAGTAAGAATAATAATAAACAATATTATAATTATATAACAATAATTATAATTTAAAAATATAAGTAAAGTGCCTTAAATTATTTTCAAAATTCTCTTTATATGATCATTTATGTATTTTCATGTCTTATGTCTGTGAGGAAGGCAGGACAACTATTATATTTATGTTATAGCTGAAGAAATAGGCTCAGAGATGCTAAGTAATTTGCCTAAGGTTACAGAGCGTACAACTTGGACCAAATCATTTGCCTGACCTGAAATAACTTGTATGTTAATAAATACACTGCCAGAGTACAGAATTTGAGAAATAGCCTAATAATATTTGAGAAATGTTGTTTTTACTTTATAGGGATGCAGCAACAATAAAGCTTTCCTGCATATCAAACGAGCAGAATTAACAAAACCAATGCAGAGTGGCGACTTCCTGTCGCAGAAACCTGTGGGTGAGACAAGGAGGAGCCCGATTAAGAAAAGCCCCAAATGTAATAAACCACACTTGTTAGTTCCAGCCAAACGTCCCTGTGAATTTTCAAGTCACCTTCGTCACTATTGATGTGCCTTAGATGGATCCCTCGTGCGCCACTTTTCTGAGGTGTAAAAAGGACGTGATGATGCCAGTTCCCTGCTATACCCCAGTGACGTTGGGAACATAGGGAAGATGATGTGTGACATGTGAGAGTGGTTTGAACTACGAGGAAGAAATAGACTGTGTGAAAGACAAAGCTTCATTTCTGGGGGGGCGGCGGGTGCATAGTTAAGAACATCTCTCAGCTGCTTACTTCTGTGTAGTAAGGACCGACATCCACATAGCTTTTTACAAATGGCTAAGCATTATCAACTGGATTTCCAGGGCGGGGGCTGTCCTTAGTCTTGTTTTGTGGATGAAGACTTGCTGGAGATGACTGGGCTAGCAGGTGGCGGAGTCCGTTGTTGAACACTTATGTGCTGGCTCCAGGCTCCATGTCGCTTTCAACCTGACCACATGCCTGCCCTGCTTTGAGAAGTCCCTTGGGCTTAGCTGCTCTAAGAGACAAGCTGGCTGTGCAGGGGGAAAAGGAGTTAGCCATATACACTGCAATTAGACATGGGTGAGATTTTGTTCAATTGGGAGGACCGTCTCACAACTCTTTCTTGTAGCTGACCTGGAAAATTCTGAGAATCATGTTGGTTTATAGTAATGAGTTATTTGGTTTTGGCTTTAGACTGATGGGCCGATGAATAGTATCATTTGTTATTATATTCAGGATCCTGGATTTGAGAACAGTGGGCTGTGTGAGATGATGAGCTCGGCGATCTAATTTATTTCTGGGTGTTGGTTTTTGTTCTGTTGAGTCTGCTGTGGGGAGAGCTGTATTTGCTTTGGATGGTGTTTGCAGCAGCTGCGCTGGGCTGAGCAAGTGCGAGACGGTGCTCATGGAGGGACTGGCTTCACACGCCCAGGGCCTTGCGATTCTCCTTTGCTGTCTTGTGCTCAGTTGTCTGTTGTTAGTTGCTCTTAGAGATGCTGATTTTGAGGATGGGGTTTTTTGTTTTTCTCCCTCCCTCCTCTCTCTCTTGACCCTCCTGTGTTTTGAGAGAACCTTCTAGAATAGCTGTCTGGAAGCTGCAAAGGCTACGTGTATTCTCTCTGTTGGGCTGCTTTTCTTTACCAGCTCAGACACCTGCTTCAGCACCTTCATTAGTCATGCCTCTAAAGCCGTGTCACTCAAAGCATGGCCTCCAGACCTGTGCCCGGGTGTGAGCTGTTTATCACTCATTCGGGGCAAGATGAGGACAGAAATTGACAGTCAGAATTCAGAAGCTGTTCCAGCCATTTTCGTGTCTCTATTTATTTATTTATTTATTTATTTAATTTAATAAAATGTAATTCAATGTCTGTTCAATCTAATCAGAAAATAGGGCATATATTTTGTATGCCTTTTTTAAAGATATAATTTAATTGTTCTATTCATTTGTGTTGCATTGTATAAAAGTATCAGTCCACAATGGACTAAAACTAAAACCAAATTAGTAAACAAAACCCCAAACATACCTGGTAGTTGGAGCGCTGCTCTGTAGACACAACAGCAAAGCAGATCTGTTTCAAGCCCTTCTCATCTCTTCCCTTTTAGCCTTCTTTGAAAAAGTTTCCCAGCCCAAGGTTTCCAGGGCTCTCATGACTGTCCAACTCTCCCCAGCCTCGAGCACTTGAGATCAGGATTTGGCAGAATTCACCTGGGTCCCTCCTTTATGGCCCACCACCCCCTGGGCCTTGATTTCTGTCCAGTAATGGTTTAGCTAATTTGATAAATGAATCTGCCAGCAATTATGGTGAATCTATGGCAGCTTTGGAGTGGGGAGGGCTATTGGGGTGCTGTATGATGACATTTTGTCCAAAGGTCCCAAGAAAATATAAATCCTACTTCAGATTACAGCCATTCTTCCCAGCAATTGCGAAGGAAAGCAAAGTACCCCTTGACTAGGGTCTGGGGCTTTGGCCTTAACCTCAGTGCAGAGAAACTGGGTATGCTGGGATGGGGCATATGGAGCACTGCCTTTTCCTAAGCTACTTAAATTTGAATACTTGAGAGAACTGCTCTACGACCTCCCCTTGGCAGAATGATGGTGGTGATGAGAGTGGGATGGAGGGAAATTTGTTTTTATCTTCCTTCACCTTAACTTTTAATCAGAACATATTTTGCATATTAATTATCTTCCTTTATTAAATATGAATATGTTTCCTGCCCACTATTATTGAGTTAAATAACACAATAGTCCTTTAACCTCCTCCTTTGCTCCTCTCCAAGTCAATTATGAAATAATTGCAGTGATCGAGCAGTGCAATGGGTGGGTACAGGGTCTTGGCATAAGAGTAACCACAGGAAAACACCTCGAGGATTTGGCAAGTGGGAATTTCCCAGTGCTTCTGGAGCTGGCTGCCTGGTCAGACACTGTCCTTATCTCAACTTTTTCCCCGGGCCTCATGCTGCCCTTTTGTGAAACCTCTTCTTTTTCTTTTCTTCTTCAGGGTGGCTTTCGATGTTCATTTTCACTGAGTTGAAATGTCACTGGAGGGGTGGGGAAAGTCCCACATGGGGTGGTCCCTGTGATGTCACTGGACCCAAGGCAGATCACTCACACTGTCTGCAATGTTTGTCCTAACAGATTTACACATGTGAAAATCCTTTCCACAGGGATGGCTGCCAAAGGAAGGTTTGCAGCCCTGACCTCTCTCCCAGGCAACAGGCTTGCGAGGACACTGGCCGTGCACAGAGGAATTGAGGACTCGGATGAGCCTAGTGGGGTTTTAGGGAGAAAACTGGAGCCAATATATGGGTCAAGACAAGGGAAAGATGCCAGGGAAAGAACCCAGTGATAAAGACCAGAAGAAAAGTGGAAGCAGGAAGGAAAGGGAAGGAAATAGATAAATGTTGTAGAGGAAAGGAGGAAACAATCAATTGAGGGGGGAGGCCTTACAATGGAACACTTCCATTTATGTTTGAACATCTCAGATACAGTGACGTGTCCCTAGCCAAATATGTCATCTTTTTACAAGAGAAACACATCTGTTAAAAGGGATTATCTTATCCTATTAAAAGCAATTTAGTTGTTTAAACTAATCAGAATGGTTTCATAAAATAAACAGGCAAAATAGTACGTGTTTCAAAGGGGATGATCAGATTCATTAATGAGGGAAACACAGTAAATGCTGTGGCCAGGCTGGAACTCAATAAATCAGTCAATTCAGTATTTCTTAATTTTTCATTTACAATGACTTCAAGCAGAAATTGTCACACAGTTCTAAGTATGATAGAAATGCTTTTTCCAAAGGCTAATGATTGACCAAACAACACACACATATACACACATTTGCACATCTCCCAACCCCACACTCACTGATCCCTGAATCCCTGTCCTATTCTTCATCACAAATAAATTCCAGGTGGATCAAAGATTTTCTGTGAAAAAATGAAATCGTTATAAACACTAAATGAAATGGTAAA